CATATTGTAAGGGTACAAGTTAAATCTACCAAGTATAGAACATAAATGTTTGTATGTATACATTTATATACAAATATAAGTTACATACATATATACATATATAAATGGATTCAGCAGAAGGCTGGTCTTCCATGATGTATTTAATCTTTTCAATGAAAATTCTGGGAGTCAACTTTTGGGAACATTTATCTTTTAATTCCTATAACATGTATGTCAGCAACATATATTACTTTCTCAAGAATCTGATCACAGGACTCATCAAGTATTTACCTGAAAACAGCTGCATTGTTGAATGCGTTTACAATGAAATACATTTATCAATATCTTATTAAAGGAAGTTACAATTGTCTATAAATTTGCTTCTCCACTAAATGAATGTCACTGAGATACCATTTATTTTATAATTTCCTAGATAGAACATGCTGCACAGTAGATTCTTTAAACATTTTTAGTGATTTGATGACTGTTTAGATTCCTTTCAACTTAACATTGCACAAGGTTATAATATGTAACATGCATTGCAGAGAGACTCTAAGCTTCCTCTAGGAACCATTTTGCACAAGCCATTTCATGTAAATATGTGGCATAAACTGACACATGGTACTTGATGATACAACAGTCAAAGCAGAAACAAGACTAGGAAACAGTGTAAGTCAAGGCAGGGTTAACACTTCAAAAATAGAAGACTGTATTGACTAATTCATAACTGATACTGAAAGTGTACCTAAGTTGTTTACTTTATTTCTTAGACGTTTGTAGACCAGGCCAATGATGCAAATTGAGGTGTACAAACTCTTCTTACCCAAAATTCTCCATCAGTGCTTCTGGCAAGAGTCCCCGTGTAGAAACTTTTGTGTAACTCTCCTTCTGTCTCATGCCCAATATATAATATACCTTCATCACCAGGCACTTAATCGGGAAACCCGCTTATTTGGAATGTCTCCCAAGGAATCAAATTAAGCCTAATTACACTTAATAGCAATGGCTGCTGCTTAATTTGGATGGTAATTCTGCTTAATTGAGATGCCTTCAGGTGTCTTAAGTGGTGCTTGCTCAGAGTACTGGTGTGCGCGAGTATGTCAACCCTGAGGACCTTGTTCTTTCCCTGCACACTTCTCCAAAATCCATGATGAAGGACAAAAAGTTTTTTGAAGCAATATCACACAAGATCCCTGAAATTTAGCTACCTGATTAATGAACTAGAATCAACAAAATTGATGCAAAACCTTTACAAATCTGGGTAAACATTGACATCTTTGTAAATGTGCGTAGAGATTTATAAAGTTTTTTGGCATCAATTTTGTTCTCATCCATAAAGAGAGGAGTGAAACTTCCAAAACAAACCAAAAAAAGCATAATAACATAAACTTCTTAAAAAATCAAACTGAAAATATCAACGAACATGTCTCACGAGTTTTAACTAATGTGAGTCCACTGGAGACTGGTAGAAGAGGGAGATAATGTGCTTCAAAACATGTCATGCACAAAAGATGGATCCAGGACTCTTTCCTGGGTTAGTTTCCTGCACGAGGCAGACACGACTGGTCACCCACAAACTAGCCAAGGGCCCTTTATTCCTGCCTTCCAGATGCTTCTCTTCTTAGACTCCCTGGAGATGGACCATGAGCATTTGATTCTATAGAATCAGAAGGAAGTTGCTAGGTACATTCTAGAAAATGTTTCTTCTGTGTCTTGGTGAATAAGACTCATTTCATTGAAGGTGACCGTGTCTATCACTAAGCCTGGACGTGTGGCAGCCGTCTTGTCTTGAGCACATTGGGGAAGGAAAGGATGGCAAATTCTGCTCCTTCAACAATGCTGCTAAGAGACAGAGTGACACCTGGACACTGCCTGCCTCTGCCTTTTTGTGATGTGAAATAATGTGCCCTTAAAAACTTGGCTCTTCTGGTACTTGCAGCCAAAATCATTCTATTGCAGCACCGAATAACCATTCCTTCATTTCCTTGTGGTATTCACCAAAGTCATAGCAGAACAGAGCAACAAAAAGAACTAGCGCTTCTGGGAAGAAAGAACTAAGGAAGTGCTATCAGAGTGTGATGGGAAGGCAGGGGTTTAACTTCCTCGGATCTCAGCCTCCTCTTTGCCAAGATGAAGTATGAACAGTACAAACCCTAAGCTTCCTTTAAAATAGAAATTTTAATTATTCTAGCATGTATAGGAAACGAGAAACTCAGATATGCTACAGGCACATCTTTCATGTAGAAGAAAAACATTTATAATTATTCACTTGTAATCTGGATTTAAATGGATTTTGAAAATATTTTAAGGATGTGGATGAAATTCCCTAAAGATTTAACTTTAAAGCACCATCTTTCAGACTTAAATAGCATGAGTGGTCTGTCGTATGTCAAAAAATGTTAGTATTTTAAAACTCTTTAATGACAATTACAGTTGGAAGATCATTCTTCCTATACTCAAGGCCAAGTCCACCCTTCAGTTGACCTTGACAGAAAAAATAATGTCATTCTCATGGCTTTCCTTAGCTCTACTTGGCTTTCTGTACGTCATCATTCTAACCCCCGAGTTCATGAGCTAACTGTGCACCTCTTAATCCCAAACACGCCTCCTGAACATGACATCTACTCACAAACAGAAGGAACCGCACTATCACCCACACTATCACCCCAACTCACCCCCCCACAGCAGCACTCCCTCAGGTCCTCTCTCTGCTCACCTCCTCCCTACAGCAGCACTCCCTCAGGTCCTCTCTCTGCTCACCTCCCCCCTACAGCAG